TCATGCTTCATGTTCTTTTCCAGTTAGCTATCCATTGCTGGGGGTCATATCTTATCACGGGGGGACACTAGGAGCTTTTCTTATGCTCATATATGACCGCATGTAGGCCCGAATTGAAGATGCTTGGAATCTCGGCTCCCAGAGGGTCCCGTCAAAGGGGGTGTAGGGATATATGGGGTTCTACGGCGATTCCATTTGCCCCACCGCCACATCCCGGGCCGGGGAAGGAGGGGGTTGGACAGGTTTAAGGGCTAGAGAGGAGTATAGAGTCTAAGGGCTAGAGAGGTATAGACAGGTATTTATTGCGGCCCCAGCCAACGAGGCCCCGACCCCACATCAGACTCAGCTCCCTCGCGATTCCATTTGCCCCACCGTCACGTCCTGGGCTCTGGATGGAAGGGGGCTGGAGAAGTATTTCGAGGGCCGCAATAAATGCCTATCCAGCCCTTTCCATCCCCACCAATAACCACCTACCATGATGGGATTCCGTAGATTTTGGGTCCCTATAATGAGGATGATTATTGCTCTGGGTCCATGTTGGAGCCCCGGGTTTATGCACGCTCGCATAGAGATATTTGTGGTAATCATTGTCAGATGACTTATCAATCAAAGTAAGAATAGCCGAATTCCCGGAAAGTGAACGCCTTTTAGTTGCCCAGCGAACTTAGTAAGTAGGTGATTAACAGGCTTAGAAGCCGTCAGGCCTCAATTAGGAGACTTATAGCCCCATGTTTAACCGACTTTCTAGCCTGACTGAACGTTAAGCTCTGGTCCCTAAGCCCCAAACCCCTGAACCTCCAATTAAACCTTAAAACCCTAAACCAGCTGCTTTCGATGCTTATGGGTCTGCTAGGAAATTCACCATGTATGAGGGTTACATAGGGTCTATATAGAGGGGATATAGGGGCTATATACGGTGAACTATAGGTATGTAGGGTTTAGGCAGTTGTATCCCAATTTTAAGTAAATATAGCCCAACTCGGATCATATTAGGGGACTTCGGGCTGATAACCTGGTTTTCAGTGCAGCTACAGTTGGGTTATAACTACCCTGATCATCCAAGTGGACCCAGACCGTAGACCCTGCAGTACTAGGCCCGTGGAAGCTGACCACGCCTACCCTGCCACAAGTTGATATGGAACCTCATATAGCCGCCCTTTTTAAAGGACAGTGGTTTACAACACCCCCCTCTTTTAGGTCCCATGTTAGTTTAGTTGAGTGTAATACCTCTGGGTGGGTACCCTCGTACAAGTTGATATGGAACCCCATATAGCCACCCTTTTTCAGCCGTATGCCTATGAAGCGCCAAAGCTTTTCGAAGGCTCTTGGGGAGGTCTCGCTTAGACCCTGAGATCCCCCAGCATCTCCGTGCAGAATTGGCGAGGCTGAGATGCTTTCGTGCGGTCGAGGGTTTAGGGTTTAGGGTGTAGGGTCTAGGGTTTAGGGTCTAGTGTTGAGGGTTTAGGTTAAGGTTTAGGGTTACTGTGTAGGGTCGAGGGTTTAAGGTGCAGGGCTTAGGGCTAAGGGGGCAAACCCTAAACCGCGCGGCTAAACCCAGAATCCTAAGCCTCAAACCTCAAATCCTAACCCTAAACCCTAAACCCTAAATCCCTAACGCTTCACCAAGAAAGTTAGGGCTCAGCAGTCAGGTTTCAGGGCGTTGGTGCTTTTTAGGGTGCGGGGTGTGGGGCTCTTGAGTTTTTTGGGGTTTAGGATTTAGGACTTAAGGTTGCATAGGGATCTTAGAGTTTTACGCGCTTGGGGTTCTTCTGAAAGCTATAAGCTTCTTTTTGTTCTTTTGGGCTTGCTTTTGCGAGAGCCGTTTGGTTTGAGAGGTCAGGGGTGGCCGTGATGTGAGACATGCCGTGATGTCAGGCGTTGTTGTCGTAGGATTTCTATGGCGACTGTGGCCGGTAGAAGTCAAGATGACCCTGCATCATGTATCCATCCCCTCCCCACGGCAATAAACACCTTCCCAACCTCCTAGTAGACAAAGAATCCGCCTAATTTTAACGTATCAGAGTCATGGTGAGACCATTCACGGTTAGTTCTTACGGTCATTCGGGCTTCTTCTAGACCTACATATGCGCATGACAGTTGACATGAGCGTGCTGCATACATACATGCACGTTTCGAGTATGCAGGTTACTGGTGCTATGGTAGATGACGGACATCTTGCACCATCCTACGTACAGTCCTCGCCGCGTTGCTTTTAACAAACCTAAATGAAGTTATCATTGCTACCATAGAATGGGTGTATAATAAGCTATAGGGTTTCCTTAGTATAGTAATACTACATTCCTTAACAGCAGCCCCGATCGAGGTATCTATTTGCATCCAGGTGTGATACCAGCTTTTTTGGGCCGATTGCAATTGCAGATGCCGCGCTGAGCCCTGAACCCAACACACCGGAACACTTAAAGACCTTAAGGTGGAAAATCCTCATATCCTGAAATCGAATACCCTTAACAGCCAAACTCCCAACCCGCCCAGCGGTCGCGTGGTCAGGATCCTAAACCCTAAACCCTGGTTCGTCAAACGCTTCAGCTTGAGCATTCTATGCCAGGGATTCAAGAGTCCCACCTCCCTATTCCCAACAAGTGCCATTGTATAGTAGGGTCAACAGTTATTCTCTGGCAGGTGGGGGTGGGGAGGTGAATCTTTGGAGCAGCGGATCAGCAATGTCTACCTTAGCTCATGGAGAACTTCTAGAGTTGCGAGTGGTAATCCCCTCCCCTTGAGAATGAACCTCCCTACCGCCCTCATAATAGATATTGCCCAGTGGCATGACGCTATTATACTGGGGGTATTTATCCTTAGTGGGTGTGTGAGGGGGTAGTTATGAGGGGGAGGGATGATAGGGGATTCCCGGCTTTTCTGAAAGCACCATAATCTGTTGTCCAAATCTACCCTGGAAACTTCAGCTTGCAGGAAGGGCCCAAGACACTCCCAAAGGTTCATTTTTTCCAGCAATCCATCACGCCATGGTCCAATGCAAAATCCGTGGTTTGACCGGCTCAACATTCGAGCTTCGTATTGATAGCGCTACCACACTGCAGGCGCTATGCAAGACTCTGTGCCTTTGTTGGATACATTTCAGGCTTTCTTCTGACATTCTATGATACCTGAATTCCACCAAGGTGTCCCTAAACCCTTAAACCCTACACCATCCCTAAACCCTAACCCCCCTAACCCCCCTAACCCCCCTAACCCGCCTAAACCCCCTAACCCCCCTAACCCCCCTAACCCCCCTAAACCCCCTAAACCCTCAACCCTACCTCAACAATCGCAAAGGACTATTGCTGTCAGGGTGGGCTTTGATGTTGGAAGAACCCTGGTGCTGATGTCCGGCAGTAACATCCTGGATGAGTCTACACCCATTCTGCCACAGCTTCAGGGAGAGGAGATCACGTATCTAGGTGGCATTTTGGGATGATTCACAACTGCCTCCTCTTTGTGCCAGGAACCTATTCATACATATTTTGGGTGCCTTAAGGCACATTCAGGTATGTTGTTCAGCGAGTTGGCGCTGGCAGTGCAGCTTTGAGCTTAGCATGCTTGCTCCCGGGGGTGCGACTCCCTTGCAGCAGTCGGCTCCAGGCAACTAGATGGTTCTCACAACATCCTGCATATGGGTGGTTGTCAAAATTATGGTCCCTCTTTGAATCCGATTATAATATGGCACCTAATATTTAGGGTACCCAAAAAAGGATCATAATTTTGACATCCCCCATATGAGCCATAGTAGTCTAAACTCCCGAAACGGGGTTATATAGGGGATTATATAATTAGGGAGTATTTTAGGGGCTATTAAGGGGAATACTAGGAGTTTAGACAATGGTTCATATCCCACAAGGAACACCAGTAGTGAGGGTTTCCTATACGTAATCCCTGCAATATTCCAGCACCTTTTCCTCGACTGCCCCCTTTATTCAATTTTTTTGAGCTGCAGGTGGATATGACTGCCACGGAAGCCATTTCTACCCTGACCTTCGGCAACCTCTTCAACCAGAGTCTTGAAGGCTGTGTGCATGTTTTTTCATTTCCTTGCAATATCGCCCTGTACAACCCCCTATGTAACCTTATACATATATACATATATATATATATACACACAGACATATATCTATATACACACCTTACAACTCGGAACAGACAAATGGGGTTGTCCTGTGGCCCTTTTAGTGAAGTTCCGGACAACCCCTTCAAAGAGGTATCATGTGGCCACGAAGCCTGCGCACTCTGAAGTTTGGCTGGTGGTTCAACCAGGGCGTGCAAGGTATCAGGGGTGCTGAGCAAGCCCTTTTTCCTCTTTACGGGCTCGAAGTTCTTTAGAAAGGTAAGCTATATTCAAAAAGGGCCTTTATCTGTTCTAAGTTCTTCATAAAAGTAAGCTGTATTCAAAAAGGGATGCCCTTTTGGCCCCAGGTTACTGGAAATCCGAGGCATCACATGGCCAAACAGCTTGTCAACTTTGACCTTCGGCCACTCCTTCAATCAAGTAATGTCAGGGGTCATGCTGCCAGCTACCCTGCGGCAGTTGAATTTTGGCCAGAAATTCAACCAGGCTGGGCAATTTAACGCGACCTCACCAGACCTCACCCTAAATGGTGGTTTACATAGGGAATTCTACCAAAATGGCCTTAAATTGGAAGCTGAAATTCGTGTAAATTACCCTGACCAGGGCTTAGAGGATCTCGACTTTCCAAGTGGCTTGCTGACCTTAGCCTTTGGAGGGAACCTGGGTTGTTGTTGAATAACACTTTGCATTGATTAATAGGGGATTATATTAGGGTTATATAGGGGTTATATAGTAATAATGGAAAAGAAAATGGAAGCCCTAGGTCCCTTTAAAGGGATATTATAGGGTTTGTATACCAGAGCCGAATATAAACTAGACATGATCTTTGAAGATGCCTGAACAGTCTTCAAGGAATTTTAACCAGAGCTTGGAAGATGTGAGACTGCCGTGCAGCCTTCAGACTTTGGCGTTGGGCGACATGTTCAACCAGAGCCTGGCGCGCCTGACGTTGTTGGGTTGCTGTTAAGGAATTCATTTCAAGTTACCATATTAAGGGTATATAGTAAGTAATGGGGGGTTTCGTTGTTACAGTAGCCCTAAACTCTAAACCCAAATAAAACCCCTACGCCCTAAACCCTATGGTAACTTAAATTGTTCCTGAACAGCAACCCAGGTTGCCAAGCAACTTGCTTACATTGTCCTTTGGTCATGACTTTGATCAGAGCTTGGAAGATGTGGTGCTGCCGAGGGCCCTGCGGAACCTAGCCTTTGGCAATGGATTTGACCAGAGTTTGGAAGGTGTCACACTGCCCAATAGCTTACAAACTTTGACGTTTGGCGATGGTTTCAACCAAACTCTGGAACATGTAGTGCTGCCGAGCTGCCTACAATCACTTACCTTCGGCGATAACTTCAACCAGAGTCTGGCAGCCACTTCACTGCCAAGCAGCCTTTTAGTCTTAACTTTCGGCTACTCCTTTAACCAGAAGCTGAACTGCATCACTTGGCCAATCGGCCTCCAGTCGTTGGCTCTGGATCGAGGCTTCACTCAGAATTTGGCTCGCGTCATGCTACCCGACAGTCTGCGGACGTTCACTTTTCGTGGAAACCTCGAACGGGGTCTGTCAAATGTCACTCTACCGAGCGGGCTGTTGTCCTTAACCGTTGACAACACCTTCAGTCACAATCTGGATGACCTTACCCTGCCAAGTGGCCTAGAGTCATTGGCTATCTGTGGGACGTCCTTCCCGGGCTTGGAAGTTGTAATGCTTCCAGCTACTTTGCAGAGCTTGGTACTTGCTGGGGTAGCCAACCATAGCTTGGAGGGCGTGAAAATGCCAAGGGGCATGAAGACATTGACCTTGGGTTACGGTTTCAATCAGAGTCTGGAGAACGTTATGCTGCCGGCCAGCCTGCAGACGTTGACCTTCGGCAAGCGCTTCAATCAGAGTCTGGTAGGTGTCATGTTGCCTAGCACGCTGCAGACTCTAGCTTTGGGCGACGACTTCAACCAGAGCATGAAAGGTGTGATTCTGCCCCATGGCTTGAATACACTGGCTTTTGGTGAAGCCTTCAATCAGAACCTTGAAAGCACCAGCCTCCCAAGTGGACTGCAGACCTTGTCTTTTGGCAGCCGCTTCAACCAGAGTCTGAAATTGGGTTGTCATTGAGCCTCATTTTGTATTTTCAAGGCTATGTGAACCTTATACGGTTCAGCAAGGGTTTGTGTAGCAGTACCCCCAAAACACTAGAGCCTCAACCGGCAATATTCAAGGAAAGGGATCGCGCTGCCAAACGGCTTGCGGGCATTGAGCTTTTGCAACAATTTCGATCAGAGTTTGCAAGGCCTCCAACAAGTTTTGCTAGGGGCTTTTTGGGAGTCGTTATGGCCTCATCATAAGACGTATTACATCATGTAGGAGCTCTTTATCACGGAGCACCCCCTCCCATTTGTGGAAGCACCCATCTCCATCTGAGCTTGGAAGGTGTCGAGCTGCCAGAAAGCCTGCAAACGCTGAGTTTTGGCAACTGCTTCAACCAGAGTTTGGAAGGTGTCAGGCTGCCAGGCAGTCTCAGGACTCTAGCCTTTGGAGAACGTTTCGACCAAAGCCTAGAAGGTGTTGCGCTGCCAAGCGGCTTGCAGACGTTGACATTTGGCTCTGACTTCAACCAGAGTCTTGAGGGCATCACGCTGCCCAGCAGTCTGCAGACACTGACCTTTGGCGCACGCTTTAGCCAAAGTCTGGAAGATGTCATGCTGCCAAGCAGTCTGACACATTTTGGTTGCAGTGACTTTCATATTGATGTCCCATAAGCCTGCGGAGAGTTGTGCGGTGCTGTCTACTTGCAGGTCCAGGATAATTGTAACCCAATTGTAGTTCTACTTATATCCTAACCATAAGCCTCGTAAGACCCCAAAAATTACGGTCCTAATTGGGCTATAAGCACAGTCCCAGTTATAATTCGGTCATACTTACAAGTAACCCTAAACGCGAAGGACCATTGGACCATGGTACCTAAAAACGGATCATGTATGGGTTGTACATGTTATATTGATGGTATGCCTTTTCCCTGGCAGTTCGGTTGTTATGCATAGCGCTGGCAGGGAGTTTGTGTGAACCCAGGATTGATTAGCCTGTGTCATTTCATGAACCTCTCGTTTGTCACATGGTGCGCGAAAGCATGGTAGGACGGCCTCCGGAAGAGAACAACAGGGTCGAGCGAGTACTGCTGAGTAGACCTTGACGTGCTTAAGGGAGAGTGTGGCGGAGTGGATCTACATATTGTCTAGAAGAAGCCACTTTCCAATGGTTCCCATCTATGATACTCCTTTTTTAGACCCTTATGTTTGAAGCCCCGACTTGAGTATAGATCATGCGATGTACATTCTAGTTAGTGTTCACTAGAGTCTTGGGGATCGTTGTTGATCCTAATTTTTGTTTTGCCAAGGGGATCTTTGAGACGAGGCTCTACCCCAGTCCCAGTATCCATTTCGTGTTCCACTATCTTTTCGAGATGACTCACTGTTACACCAAACATCCCGCATAGACCTAAACCCTAAAACCCTGACCCCCTAACTCCTAAAACCCTGAACCCCTAAACCCTAAAACCCTGAAACCTGAACCCTTAACCCTAAACCCTGAACCCTAAACCCTAGACCCTAATCCTTGTACAAGCCTTGACGACCTCGCAGGTTTCCGGCCGCCATCTTCGCCTTGGGATCTACTGACCTTCGCGCTCGCAGCGAGAAAATAGGGATGTCAGGCACTTCAGTAGGGAGCGATTCAGCTGACCAGCGTGTTAGTGGGTCATAGCACAAGATGAACCGTTATACTTAGAATATGGTCGTGTCTCCAAATTCTGAATCCCCTCCTGACTGGCTTCTAGTGGGGATAATTCTTTGTGAGGGGCATGCAGTCAGTCGCTGGCTGGTTTGGAGAAATATCCGGGCCTAACGAATTTCCCCCACAAAGCAGTCAGCTCTTTTGCGTAGCATTAAAGGCCGCTCCCCACCCCTACGCATAAAGTCTATGATTTTGCCGGGTCCCAGGGTTAAGGTAGACATCATGCTTATGGACCCCCTTTCTTTGCCGGTATTCCCAAGGCAAGTCACCCATACCTATACGCACTTACAAGTAGAATTGCTCATACCCCCAGAGCCACGACAAAGCCTACAGCATGTAAGCTATGGTCTAAATCCTCGTATCCCCCTTCAGAAGCCCCCTAGTGGTCACCGATGTAATCCCCTATATGACGCCCCTTTAAGGAGTTTAGACTACAGCGCATGTAAGCTCTTCGCATGCCCTCAACCCTATAATTACCCCAAACCCGCAAACCCCATACCCTAAACCCTAAACCAATGAAGCTGCCAAGGTGTCTGTGGCGAAGCGCGTCTCACAAGAGATTGGCGTTCTGCCCTCAGCACCTTGCGATGGGGATTTTGCTTAGGGCTTAGGGTTCGAGGCATCGTGTTCGGGGCTTAGGGTTTAGGCTTAGGGTTTGGGGCTTACGGTTTAGGGCTTAGGGTTTAGGGCCTAGGGGGTGCAGAGTTGGGTGAAACACTTTGGGAGACGCTGAAATTCTTTCAGATGGTTGAGGGTTTAGGGCTTAGGTTTAGAGTTTGCGGTTCAAGATTTACCAAATGAGAGTTGCGTTCAAGGTCCCTTTGAAGGAAGAACCAATGGGAATACATTTCCTTCAGGGGATCCTAACCCAAAAGGGAGTCTACCTTATGGCTATGTTGGAGACAGGTACTTTGAACAACTACAGGGTTTAGAGCTCTAGGATTTAGGGCTACATTCTACACCCATCTGACCACCCTAAACCCTAAAGCATGGCACAGACAGGACCCGCGCGAAGGACCTGGCTCCCGGGACTCCTTGGTGGGCTACCAGATCCGGTTGGAAAAGAAGGCGGGGCCGGCTTTTGGATTCGGGGTTTAGGATCTGGGGTTGTGGATGTGGGGCTTAGGATCTGTTTTTTTGGATTTGGGGTTTAGGATTTGTGGTTTGGGTTTAGGGCTTAGGGTCTAGGATTTGGGGTTTGGGGTTTAGGACTTAAGGAGATATGTTAAATAGATCCTTCAGGATGTAGGGTGCCAGGTTTGGGCTTTAGGGTTCAGGGTTTCTGTGGATTTGGTGGGACGTGGGTACGCCGCTATGGATCAAAAGAATTTTTCAGGATTGTTTAGGTCATTCCCCCTCCCAGTAACTGTCCTTAAAGGGGCCCTATTAAGGGGGTTCTTATAACTCCTATAACCCATTGTGGTAACAGTTACTGTAAGGGGGAATGACCCAAGTCATTGCCCCCTACAGAAAGAGCCCATAAATGTGGAGTTAATAGGGCCTTAGTTTACCCACAATAATCCCTTGTGGTACCCATTGCTGGGTGGGGGATTGACCCAACAGATGGTTCGTTTGGAGGTGAAAGGCTGCGGGAAGTGGCAAATGCAATGTAGGGATTCCGCAGTCGTTTCCATAAAGCTCATACAGGATCATGTTGGCCCAGGATTCAGCGTGCAAGTTATAGCCACGCTAGGGTTTAGGGTTTGGGTCTCATATGAGCTATACTCTGAGCTCCATAGAGGTGGGCTTATAGGAATTATATAGGGGACTACTATAGGAGTTATTAAGGGGATACCAGGAGTTTAGACTATAGCTCATATGTACCCAGTAGGGAGTAACTCCATTTGCTCTTAGGGATCCGGGGCTTCATTTCAAGATATGGGTTTTGCTACTTAGCCTGAATACCTTCAGACAAGCAAGCGTCCGGACGGAACGCAGTATTGGGAGAAGTCATGCGACCCACATAAGTCACATGAGCTACACACCCTGAAGCCTAAAGCCTTGGCCTTACAGGCTGCCAGTTAGAACACTGGATAGCTCATATTGCTACATGTACAGGCGAACAAGCCTAGTGGCCCTACTCATCTTCCTTGGTCTTGAACCCCAGGTTCTCTGGGAATATGGGGGATGAGGAAGTCATGAACAACCAGGGTTCCCACTGCTTCAAGATTTCCAAGACTTTGGGGACTTAAGGCTGTAGAGGACGTCTTGTATCAGCAGCAGCAGTTATCAGGCTTGAAGTCTTTTCGAGGTATAGCGGGGGCCCTATCGTTTTGAAATGCTTCTGCATGGAGGTATCCAGTTCCACCCGGCTGCTATTCTGCACAGACGTGGCCTCAGTTGGGGCAATAAGGAAGATTTTGGTACCCTGCCCCTTTTGCTCAGGACGCCGCTATAGTCATGATAGTTAGTCGCAGGTTCCGTATTTTGGGGTTTGGGGTCGCAGAATTCCTTTAATTACTTTTGGGGCAGGTCTGCAGGAAACAATGGTACTTTGAAAGGGGCCCGGCAAAGGCTGCAGAATTTTCTAACTGGGACCACAGAAGCTCCTATACTGGATAGAAGGCTATACCGGCTATGATTACCCCTATCGAGGTCTGATGCGTCTTTGAAGGGGCTCCACAAAAGGGAGACCAATAACTAGCCACTCTCCAAGACCTCCTTAAGCCTCCCCTACATCCCCACCCCCTCTCCCGCGCCCATATACGGAGTTTACTTGCGTAAACAAGTTCCCTGCTCACCTCCGCTTTCAGGCGCGAACTCCTAAAACAAGAGGCCCCAGTACTCCTTGCAATTCCTGTGTAGATGTTTCTAAACGTGGGCCCGCTTGATGATTATGGACGTCCAAAACCCGGGAAAACAAGGTCTAGGATCCCTAAGGCAAAGGACACATTTGATTCAACAACTCCAAAAAGATTGGCCCTGACCCCTAACCCCCGACCAAAACACCTAACTCTCCATCATGATCACGGCATCTCACGACAGGCTGGCTGGTTTTCTCCAAGCATTAGGTAGAAACATCAGCTATCGCCAGGTAATAACATAAAGTCTCTTCTCAAAGCACCATTCAAGATGACACTAGCACTTCGTAATGTACTTTAAAGCCGAAAAGCTAAACTTTGAATTGTGAAGCTGAAGTAAACAGCTCGTGTTGATCTACAGCGGACACCACCTTACATCATCGTCGACTGTGACCAAGGGACATGTTTTCAGGGTTTAGGATTCAGGTGCTTAGAGTTTTGGTCAGGGCTTCTCTCTGTTGTAAGCCCTCTGCATCCCTAAACCTAAACAGTTTGACTTTCATTCGCTAACTGGAAAGAGGAAGCGCCGACGGAAGCGCGCCAACAATCTAGGACTTTCTCAAGACCCAAGGCTCGTTGCATACCCCAAAGGCTCGAGCAAGTTTAGGGGTTGGGGTGTAAATGTGAAGAAGCTGCAAACTGCGAAGCGCGATCTTGATAATCACCAGAAGCAGATTCATCATCACTAGACCTTCAATCCCTCAACAGACAAACGTTCAAGACGTCCCAAGCCATAGACAGCTAGCTAGGTCATTGAATATTCCTTCTGGATCAGCACCCACAACTTAGGCTACTTAGACTTGAAAGCCAATAAGCCTAGATTCCTAAACTTTAGGCGGCCCTAAACTCCAAACTGTAAACTTGAAGTCCCACACCGGCAACCCAGAACCCTTGAACCGCAACGAGAAGTCGTTAGAAAAAACTACGACTATTGAGGCCTTCAGAATTTCCTATAGGGCTCTAGATTCCTTGTTTTAGTGGTGTAGGGTACCATGAAACCCTAAACGCTAAACTCTAAGCCTTAAACCGCCTGAAAGTCGCATTGGAAAGTATTTAGGTCCCTACATGACTCAGGTGGGGGTACTCCTGCGCCAGTTACAGCAGGGCTTAGGAGCTCTTGCCAAGGCTCCAAGAATCAGGGGTTTAGGGGTTTGGGGCATTCAGGGTCT